ATATGAGTTTGAATAATGTAGGGGGCGCACTGGAGTCAAATGTTAAACAACAATATCAATGTGTCTAGAAGATGCACAATAAATCAGGTGCAGATCGGATGATGTATCACTGAGATATAACTTTAGTAATAATGTATGGGGCGCTGTGGAGGCTATTGGCCACTTATCATGGATTCCTGTTCAAGGGGTGATTTTGGTGCGCCTCAGCTCAAATCTGTGCCATTTAGAGCAAAATGTATTGCAACGGCGTCACTTCTTAATTTGTCATACCACCACACCCACATTCTCCAGCTAAAACTGTTTGTAATTTAAATCAAGTCTGACCAAATTTTTATGTGTTCTAACACAGGATCATCCTGATTAGGTAAGGGTGTCAAAAAGGGAGCATTCCAAGTAAAAAAAGAAACTTCCTGTTCTGAGGGGGCGGGGCTTTTATGAAGTCAGAATATGACCACAGACTATTGTCGGGCATCCAACAGGGATGACTCATGCCAAGTTTGGTGCATTTCGGTCTTTCATTGTGAAAGTTATAGCATTTGGAACTTAACGGTGTGAAGCGCAACTTTGAGGCCTGGCCATGCCCCTTTAACATATATGAAAACGCAAGGTTTTGATAACTTTTACTCCCCAATGTGTTAAGGGCATATTAACCAAGTTTGAAGGCAATCCTTCAAAATCCCTAGGAGAAGTTTGTTAAAACTCGGAATTAAAAACGCCCAAAATGGCCGACTTCCTGTTGGTTTTGGACCAGGACTCCAAGAGACTTTTTCATAGGTCCTGAGAAGATACAGATGTTCACCAAGTTTCAGAATTATCGGTCCAAAAATGGCTTGGGGCTGAGGTTTTAAAATACTCTAGGGGGCGCTGTGGAGGCTATTGGCCAATGACCATGAATTCCTGTTGAAGGGGTGGATAATGATCCATCATACTGATTTTGGTGCACCTCGGCTCAAATCTGTAGAATTTAGAACCAAACGTATGGCGACGGCGTTACGTCTTTTTCGCCACGGTGCACCGCCCACATGCTCCACCCAAAACTGTCAGTGTTGAAAAGTAAGTTACACCAACATGTCTTTGGTCACTGGACACACTGTCATGTTGATCAGGTAACAGGGGTCAGATAGGGACCGTTCAACGTAAAACTTTACACTTCCTGTTATCAGGGGGCGTGGCTTAAGTGATGTCATGATTTGAACATTTATTCTTGCAGGGGACCGGATGTGGATCAATCACTGAAGGTTTGATGTCTCAGACGGTTTTCATGTAGGAGCTATTAGCGTTTTGTTTTTATGGCGAGATGTCAAACTTTGAGGTCTGGCCCCGCCCCTTAAGCATGCTCCGAAACAAACCGTTTTGCTAACTTTTCGTCCCCCATGCCTTTTGACCAAAATATCCAAGTTTGAAACCAACTGAACGAAATCCCTAGGAGGAGTTCGTTCAAATGCGGAGGCTGTAAACTGCAAAAAAGGTGTGAAAATTGGTCTGGCATTCCAAAATGGCCACCTTCCTGTTTATCATACAACGTTGGTGCCAGAGGGTTTTCTGTGCATCTTGGGGAATTGGACAAGTATACCAAATGTCATGCTTCTACGACAAACTAAGGGTAATGCGGAGGGTGTTTTGAAAATTTCCAGGTGTTGCTCTTGAGCCGTTTCTTTTGCGATTTTTGCGAGACCCTTAAACTACGTAATTTTTCACCAGTCCTGATGCGTCCGCCAAATTTGGTGAGTTTTGGGATATGTTAAGGCCCCCAAAACGCCAATTAATTTAGAAAAAAATTGCAGATCGGGCCTAAACAGAGCGATTACAATAGGACTTTGCAGTGCTTCGCTGCTCGGGCCTAATTAGCAGAAAGAAGGTTGAAGAACAACAAAGTCCATGCTCAATAATCCAGGTATACAATCCAACATTTTTCAGTCAGGTCATCTGGACAGTTTCTTTTTTTGTGCTGAAACGTTTTGCTTTCGATCCGGAAGGCTTCATCAGTCAAGGAAACACACAACAAAACTGATTCTTCCCCCAACAGCTTACTCCAAAGTGCAACAAACCAGTTCTGCTTGTGATTAGATGGTCTCTTTGGTACGCCCCTCCTCCATTGCCGGCCCTCTTCCTTGTTGACAGTCTTGTCAAACTGGTTGAAAACAACAAAGGTTGAAGAAGCACAAAAATGTTGTACTTGGCAGAAAGAATCAGCAAGGAGCACAAAATAGCTGAAAGTAGCTGAAAGTAGCTGAAAAAAGTTTAAATTTGCACAAGGAAGCTGAAAGAAGCTGAAGCAGAACAAAATGTGAAAGGAGCCGTAAAAGGTTGTAACAAATCTAAAGATTTGAACTCAACTAATTTTCTACAAGGAAAAAAATGGCAGAAAAGGCTAAATATTTCAAAAAGCTAAAGTTGCACCAATACCAAAAGTCATAGCAGGATTGTCCTGAATGAGCTGAACGTCTTGATTTAAGATTTGTTGAAATAGAACAAAAATTGTGGAACGAGAAAGATGCTGAAAAACAAACAGAAGAAAAATGGATCACAGTAGAGTGAATGCTTCAGAAACTTTCACACTATTAAGCACAAGCATTAAGGGTGTGTATTTATTTATTTTTTTTACTGACGTAATCCAATAATTTTGTGTTTCAGAACATTGCTGATCATGATGATCTATTTCTTCCTTTTCAGTGTGGAAGGAGACACAAAGCACTGCGTCATCTACAAGACAACTACCGGTTATGGATTCGCCGAGCCCTACAATCTGTACTCCTCCCTCAAAGATCTCGTGCTCCACTACAAAAATGTCTCCTTGGTCCAACACAACGACCAGCTGAATGTAAACTTAGCCTACCCAGTCTTGGCCCGTTCTCAGAACCAGAACTAGAACCAGCCCTTGATGGATCCTCCACCAGCAGTGAATCAGGCCAACCAGACAGTACAGTGTTTGCTCATGTGTTTAACAGGTCAGCAAAAAGGTACTGAGTCCTGTTTTATAAAGAAGAAGTTTGTGTATTTTTGGACCGGAGCGTGGTGTATATTTGCCATGCTGGTTCTGGTCCAGTTAAGAGCACTCTGGCCTCATCAAAAGCACACAGCTACTGATATGAAACGACCGTACACTTAGCCTGGTTGGTGAGATTTGACTTCCTCTTTAGTCCGCCTGCACAGTCTGTCAGAACAACAGCTGTTACATTAGACATGAAAACAAAAGACTGAGCACAAACAAGTTTTTTAAGATTGCACAGAGAAGCAGAGACCAGACGATGGTTTGGTAGAAGAAGAAGAACAGAGAAACAGGAAGCTCTTTTTCGATGTCTTTCTCATATTTTTCTGAATACAAAAGTTTTAGACAAAGGCCCAGTCTATGACCAAGACTTTCTGCACACTCCTCGTAGACCTGGATCGGCTTGGCTGAACTGGACTTTTCACCTCTCAGCTAGAAGTGGCTGAAGAGAACGTGGAGTCACAAGTGATGGGGTGATGTGACTGTGAGTTTGTAGGGAATGACGTATGGAGGTGCAGATGTTTTAGAGGTAAAAAAAAGCAATATATTTAATCTAAAGCATACTGAAGGGCCACAATAAAACTGAGCAATCACAGACCTGCATCACAATGATGAAGCTCCAGAAAGAGATGCAGATGTTACCTTTGGCAACGCTACAGCTTTAAAAGATACCCATACAAGTATATTTTTCATTAAATTATCTATTTCCTACTGCTTTAGCCAGTATCTCACTGGGCTGCAACACCTGGCAACTTGGCGGTGAACAGCATTTACAAGGACATCTCCAAAACGTCTCAAGATGTTTACTATATATATCCTCACAAGAACCACAGAGGCTTGGAGTCTGGATGCTTGAATACCGGACACGTTGACATTTTTTGTGTAGCATTTCTTTCTTTAAAATAGTTGCAGAGTTGTTACGGGTGCCTCCAATCTCAGTTTTGTCACTTTTGTCTCCAACTCATTGTGAACCAGTCTCCATGTTATTGGAGGTGTCTCAAACTCATGTCAAGAGTGCAAGCGTTGTAGTTTGACACCTGTATGGAAGGTCCTCTTTGACAGAAAACATGTCCAGGTTTAAGAAGCATGCAGTTGGTTAGTACTGTGGTTCCCAACCCTGGTCCCTGAGGAACACCATCCTGCATGTTTCAGTTGTTTCCTGCTCCAACACACCTGATTCAGTGATTTAATTACTTCCTCAAATTATTCAGAAGCCTGTTAATCAAATCAGGTGTGTCAAAGCAGGGGAACAAGTCAAACATGCAGGATGGTGTTCCTCAAGGACCACTGTTGGGAACCACTGGTTTAATATATATTTTTAAATGCTCAAAATCTACCCATCTTTGTATCGAAAACGTGAGGGCAGCTGCCTGTGGGAACAAAGCAGGCCGAGCCATGTTTGATGTGGGCAACAAAATAATATGCAGTACGCATGAAAGTGAGCTGTGGTCTTCAAATACTGGTGTGTGCATGGCTTGCTGGTCACTTAGTTGCAAGTGTTTCCTCTTGGTCAGTTGCCTTGGCAGGGCGCTCATGTCGTCACAGATTTTTGTCTACACATGTCAAGACACATGTCTGTTGTGCACCTGTACGTCAGTGCCGGCTGTTGTAGGGGTGGGGGGTGTGGGTGAAGGACATTTCGGTAGGTGGGGCACCCTCCTTGGATAGCAGTAGGGGAAACTGCTCAGAGTTCAGAAATAAATTTCTCACATTTTTGAGTGATGTGCTCAGGGATGGCTGGTACAAACGAGCTGGCAGAGCTCCGCCCTCCTCGACATTTACAGTAGAGATTTGAAAGATCAGAAAATTACCGTCAGTGTTTCAACGGATTGTTTCATATTTGGTGTCGGCACCAAACAAGCATGAGAAAATCTCAGAATTCTTCTAGTGGGGTTCATTTTTTACCTCCCAAACAGAGGCACAGAAGATTTCTTTCACGTTTATAGGGTTGAGTGATTGACAGGTGTTAGGCCACACCTTCTTTTTTTGCTGCTCATTTGGGTTAAATGTGTTCATCCTGTTAATGTGCATGAAACTTGCTGCCCTGTGTGTTTGGGGTCCATGGACCATGATTCTGACTGAAGGCAGAGCAGTGGTGAGTGTTGGCATAAATACTGAGGATTATTATGGTTCCGTCTTATTTTGACATTGTGTTTGAGGAAGCCTGCAAGATAAAAAGCTGAGGACAAAGAACAAACGATGTTTTAATTGACTAATAGCGCCTGGTTTATTTGGTGACCGTGAAAAGATGAGCTATCGGAGAACTGACAGATGTACGAAACAGTTTTCTATTTCGCTTGATTGATTTTTATTTTTGAACACAGGCTGACATGTTTTCAAGAAATCACTTGACTTCACTGAAATAGGATGAACTATTTAACTCAAGTGTGACGTCTTTAAGTATGCGCTTCTCAATCCACATCACATCTGTTATTACTGTGGTTATTAAGCTGTTTGTATCAAAACGTTTTCGGTGTGTCGCAAATCAGTTGTGATGAATAGTTGTTTTACATGAACCATGTTGCTCTGAAACAGACCAGCCTTGTTGTTAGTCACTGTGGTAAAAATGGACATAAAGTTGTTTTACCACTTGTCTCTCATATCACTTCTGTTGCTGACACGTAATCAGCAGGATTAAATGATGCAGATGTTAGCCCACCCACCTAGTATCACCACCACTGCACCAACTAGTCTCAGTCTCCGCCCAGTAAGACACTATCTTTGAATCCCCGGAGCTAATGAGGCATCCAGTCATGCTTGTGTAGGAGGAAAAGCAGGGTACTGTGAAACCAGAGTAACACTTGAAGGAGATCTCCATTTGTACACGATTCAGGTTTCTTGTGTCAGACGTGTCTTTTGTCTGTTTCTCTTTAACACTGTAGCTCCTGTAGCTGTTGACTTACAGCTCTGTCAGTGTCCTCTGATGGGTCTCGTTTCTGAAGACGCTCGCCGAGCTTCACTTCACATGATTGGTACTGAGCCTGCATCGTGTGTAGAGGACAGTTTTCCTGTTACTCAGTGCCGATACTTGTCATGTTTTGAATGCAGATTTTCTCATGGTACCTTCCTCTTGAGCTCCACTGTTGGTTTTAATATAAGCTTTCCTCACGGAGCTGCAGAACACCGACAGACTGAAAATAAAGTGTGGTTCTGTATCTTTTGTACAGAAGTCGGTGTGTGGAATGTTTTCAGAATATTTGCTAACAGTAAGAACCAGTCCTTGTTCTGGTTCTGCCTCTGCACCCTGACACGTATCTGGTACGATATGCTTCGGGTCCTTTGTTTGGGTTGCTGTGTTTTCTGAAAGTTGTGTTTTTTGTGGTACACAGAGATACTTCTGATGCACTTCAGTGTTGGAGAAGACATCTTAGATTTGCCGTCTCCAGAACAGTCAGCACCCACTGTACTGTGCTGTGGCAGGGCTGGTTTTTTGTTATTTGTTTGTTTTATACATTTGGTCTGAGGAAAAAATCTGTTCAGTGTAACTTTAAAGCACAATAGTGTGAACACAGCGGGGTACAGTTCTCCTAGTGTGCTCAGTAAAATTACAGCTACATATCTAGTTACCTATATATATATAAATATATAAAGGTGTTTTAAACTCTTCCCACACTCTTGCAATAATCTAAACAATGTTTCTAAATGAGAACAACATGTCATGATCTTTGCTCTCGGCCACGCCCACTTCTCCGCTGCAGAGTGGAGATCCTGACGAGCTGCAGGAGGGAGCTTCTCCTGCAGCTGTGGGCTGCACACAGGTGCAGGAGGTGATAAATAATTAATAATTAATGTTAAATAAAAATTCAATGCTTATCGTGCAGCTCATCCATCAATTAGCCAATTGTGTGTCGTGTCCAATCTTATTTTGAAAAACCGCGATAGAGCGAGTCCGCGATAAACGAACTGCAAAGTAGTCTGGGACTACTGTGTGTGTGTGTGTGTG